TGTGCTAAGGAATCCTAGTTCTAGAAGGTAGATATATTAGTAATAGTAAAGTACTAAATAAGAAAGGTATAAGTATACTAGTTATGGCCTTCATAAACTAAGTGATCCCCGACTTCTGAGTACGGTATCGAGCTACCTTAGTATAGCTAGTACCTTTAAGGTGCTTTCCTACCGTAGAGGTGCCTTAGCGTGCTATTATCCCTAATGATAGGGATTAAGGATGCTCTAAGATTACTCCATATCGCTTATACATTACCTTAGGTGCGCCATCGGAGCTATATGCGACCTAATCGAATTTATCCTAGGATTTTAACTAATACTTCGAGTCCTATCTAATCTTAGTATTACTAGGACCCCCGTATTATGTTCTAATCCACTAATCCATAAATTCTTTATTAACCATTTCGTTATAGAGAATAAATGCCTTTCTGCGGTCCGGTCCTATACGTATAAGACCTTTAGTGACTAGGAGTGGAATTAGTGGGCGTAGAAACTTAGGGTTAAATGAATCGATTATAAGCTGGCTAGTAGATGGTTCGGAAATAGTAGCGAGCTGCTCGTTCTTAGGCGTAAGGTAGGTAAGGTTAATATCACTATTATATAGAGATAATGAAAACGTGTCAGAATATTAGCTTTAAGACATAGTATTAGGGAAGGGTAGAGTTAAAGATTTTAGTAGAAGGGCCTTACGTATAGGAAGAATCTTAAAGACCCTAGTAATCTATCCTAGGGTACTATATCGCGTTTAAATGCGGGTTAATACATCGTAGTACTAAACCTCTACATAATAATAATTAGCTTATCTGATTTAGCTAGACTGCGACATCGCCCGTCCATGGGCACTAGGAAGTGTCCACGGCCCGTGGGCGTTTTGAAATTTAACGCCCATCGCCCACCATTATGCAAAATTAATGCAAAGATTACCCTATTAGGCTATTTTATGTACATAACCAGTTCTTGGCAATATCCACTTTGCCAAGAGTGCCCGCATATGTCTTGGCGACGCTAAAATGTCTCCACTTTAATGGGCATTGTCGCAGTCTAGATTTAGCTTTAGTGGGTAGAGCCCGTAGAAACCCATATAAAACCGCAGAAACCCGCGTTAATGCCTATAATAACCCGTAAACCCCGCAGTATAACCCGAATAACCCGCGGAATAACCCGCAGAAACCCGCATAAAAACCCGTAAGAACTAAGAAAATCACGAAAACTATAACACCCTGTTAAAATATATATCTATAAAATATATATTTCTAACTCCACCTATGGTTTCTAGCTTATAGTACGATAACCCTAATAAAGACGTAATTTCTAACCGCGGTTAAAAATAGTAGTATTCTTAAGGGATCTTTTAATGCATAGATAGTTTCTGACCGCGGTCAGAGATAGCAGTAGTCTTAAGGGAGTTTTTAATGCATAGATAATTTCTGACCGCGGTCAGAAATAGCAGTAGTCGAAGGGTGCCTTAGACGTATAAATAAAACCGCCGTAGATTACTGTATTTTATTAGTATAAATCAGCATTTTTATACACTTCGCCATGGCTTAATTGGGAAAATTATGCAGCCGCGGGTTTTTGCGGGAACCCGCACGGGTAACCCGCGCGGGTTACGGGGCGGGTTACGGGTTGGTCGAGTCTACCCATCGGGTTTGCGGGTTCGGGTTGCGGGTCGACTTCTCTTACCCATTCTCGGGGTTTGGCGCAGTCTAGGTAAAGGTAAAGTCGATCAAGGTAACCCGGAGGAAGAAGTCACAGCGCAGCGAGCTACGAGGAAAATGATAGAGCCAGTCGAGCTTTGACTCGCTCTACGACTAACTTCCCATCCATACATGTATTCTTAGGTTTTTTTTTTTATGATCAGGTCTCCCCATTATTATAGGTCTCGGGACGAGACCATTTCCAGTGGCGGCACCTATTATGGTCACGTCTTTGATCACGTGGCCCCAAACTTATAGCTAGCTTTGAGGGTAGACACAATAGGATCATCTTTACCATACCATAGCACTGTACCACTAGCTATCACTCTTTATCTTATATATATGACTACATTGAAACTTTAGCAAATATGACTTATCGAAAAACATATTTGGGTTGATATCAGTCTTGGGCGCAATCCAAAGTTGATGTCATATAACATACTACAGGCATTGATCATATTCGTTATCATGTTCCAAGCGGTATTAGCAAAGCAATCTTCATGCCTCTCTGTTGCCTAGAAGGTCTATGGGTATAGTGGCCAAAAAGCGACCTGAAACCAAACCAACCATCACCTCAGACCAAGCAGGGTGATCGGCGGAAAATAATTTCTCATGACGCAGGAGCAGGTGCTGGGGGAGGGGCATCGGGCTTCTTTTCCACTTTAAGACCCCCTTTGCCTCCCCGGCGATTGGTACCACCTAACATCCACATCGCGAAACTTCCGGGGGCATCTGGTCCCCTAGCCTTAGCTTTTTTAGGGCCTAAAGAAAAGGTAAGCGCATGTCTCTGGGAGTGCTTGAAATCGACATTCTTACCATCTGCTTTCTTCTTCGGCTCGGCAGGTGGATCCGCAGGTTTTACCGGGGCAGGCTCTGGCGCAGGGGGAGGGTCTTCCTTTGGCTTTTCGGGAATTGGCCACATGTGCATAGTGATAGCCCAGTCAGGCTCGACCACAGTTTCCCAAACCTGTGGGAGGATAATGTCGCCGTTCGGACCAACAAGATCATAATGCCCCTCGGCCACATGAGGTCCGATGACTTCAATGTGGAGGAAAGCCTGCCGGATGAGCTCTTCCATTCCCTGTAACCAACGTTAGAATACGGAACCATATAAACAGAGTGAGCGGTTGACTTACCTTCCAGGTAGCACATAGTTCAAATGGAAAACTGAATTTTCTCCCAACAGCGTCCTTGAATTTGATAGGTTGCTTTTTCTCTGGGGGTGGCGGTGGTGGCGGCGGTTCGGCAGCTTTAGCAGCCGCTTCAGCAGCCGCTGCGGCCGCTTTGGCAGCTTCCTCCTTGGCGGCGGCGGTTGCTGCTGCTGCCGCCTCGCTGGCGGCTGCGGCCGTGGCTTTCTCCGCTTCCTCCTTGGCCTTTGCGGCATCCTCTGCTGCCTTTTTTTCAGCATCCGCTCGAGCAAGCGCTGCAGCTTCCAGGGTGATCTTCCTATCATGCGCCGTCTGTGCATCCTGAGCTGCTTTCTCGGCGGCCGCGCGTTCAATGGCCTGCTTTTTCGCAAGTTCCTTCGCTTCGCGATCCATACGATCGTCCAGAATCAACTTCTCTAGCCTCGCAATTTGCTCATCCTTGGCAGTGTCGACTGGTGGAGGAGGTGGTGGAGGAGCGGGTTCAGGGGCCGGAGCCGGGGCCGGAGCCGGAGCAGGCTCAGGAGCAGGTGCTGGAGGGGGGGATTTAGGTTCAGGTTGCGCTGGAGGGGAAGGCACTGGGGGATAGGGTGGCCAATAATGAGGAGGCATCATGCCCGGGATCGGTGCGCCGAAATAGCTGGGTTGATCTCGATAGAAGCCAGTCTGACCGTAGGCCATCAACTCGTGAGGATATCCAGGGTAGGGGGTGTGAGCACCGTGAGGACCCATCGCGTGCGGCATTGGTGGCATTGGGGGCTGCATTGGATTGTGCATCTGGGGCGGCTGGCGAGGCGCATGTCGTGGATGAAATTGGGGTTGATCGGGAAGGAAATGAGGCCCATGTTGAAATTGAGGTGGGTACCCATAAGGCGGAGCACCATAGGGATTGGGTTGGCCTGGGTGAGCAATTCTCATGAGCTCTGATGTAATCGGGGGAGGATTGTGGTGGGTAAACGGGCCATGGCCCGGTGGAGGAGCAGGGGGGTGGGGAGGGTAAGATGGACCAGAGGATTGGCTGGGGGCGTATCCAGCTGGTGGGATAGGTTGCTGCCATCCCCTCCGATCATTTCGACCAAAATTAGAAGGGTACTCGTCGGAATCGGCACTGTCGGGAGAATCTGGTGATTGTTGTCTACGGCCTCGAGGGGCGAATGACTGATGTTCTGCCATCCGTCGCGATGGTGGGCGACGGCCCGAAGCGGAGCGTGAACCGTGGGGCGGACGACTGCGGTGCGAAGTTCTTGGTCGGGAGGCTGAATCAGATGGTTTCAATTCATCCGGATATGGCAAATGCGCCCAATCATCATAATCCTGGTACTCATGACTTTCTAACTCGGAAGATGTAGGGACATGGACACCAGACGATCCCTCGTCGTCGGAGTAAGAGCGATCCGAACCGTGGGGGTCTGGATCAATGGAGATACTGAGCCTGTGGAGAGAGAGATAGAGTAAGGAGAAGGTTTCCAAAAGAAGGGGGGAGAGGGGGTAAGGATATAGGAAAGAAAAAAAAAAACACAAAACCCAAACATACGTCATAGAGACAATGAGAAGCCTCGGGGAATATAAGATATATAAATCCTCTCACTCTCTCGCATGAGCGAAGTGAGGAGGGAATACCCAGGTAGGGAACCAGAGGGTTGAAGGAGAAAGAAATGGTAGAAAAAAAGATCGCGGGGGGGGGGAACGCATGGACTATTTTTCTTCTCCTTTTTCTTCTTTTGACCTGACCTCTTTAGATATAGAGTAGAATAAAAAAAGCAAAGGAATAAAACGAATAATCCTTATTTTTTTTTTGAAAAAAAAAAGATATAAATATCTTGACAGGGATAGTCGGGATAAGATGGTAGGAGGGAAATAAGGAGTATACAAAGTATGTAGAAAATCAATCCAGGGTATATATATCATGCAGAAAAGAAAGAAAATAAAAAAATCAGAAAGAAAGAACTCCTTAATTCTCAAATATAATCTTTATTAGGCCCGTTGGGCATTTTGTGTGTGTTTTTCTTCTTTATTTTTGACACATCTGCTGCCCAAACCAAAATGCCCAATACCTCTCTCTCTCTCTCTACACACTCTTATTCTACTATGGAACACTCTAGAATGATTTGTTTTTATTAGGGTATTCTCGCCACTTAGTTTTTAAGCCGCCTAAATATTACTTCAACTGGCGATTCAGCAGTTCTTTGGCTGCAATCAGCTCACTTCGACTCGATGCCCAATGTTGGTCATCGACTGACCGTGACTCAACAATCTCGCCCAACTTTAGGAGCGCAAAGGCCTTCAATCTTTCCAGGGTCTTCTTAGGAAGTTGACCTGATACGCCTGCGTAATCATTGTCAAGCATCCGTGTTGAGGCCTGCAGGGGATTAATATGAGAAATGAGTCAACATGATGCTTGCGGACTTACCAAGGTTAACCCGTAAAATCCCCGCAAATAGTCGTCACACAGCTCAATGCTTCGACTGAAGTGCTGCACCGACCTCCCAAGGAGCCGGGATGCGTCCCCGTCGGAGGCGCAGATGTATAGCAATTCACCGAGGCGAGAATGAATCTTAAAATGTCACATCAGTAACTGTAATCAAAGATAATATAAAAAAAGAAGGGTGGATCATACATTCCAAGAGTTAGGAGCAATGAGTAAAGCCTCCTCAAGGCTAAAGATGGCTTGGGAACCCAACCCCTGTGACTGATATAAGTCGGCTAGTTCACACCAGGCTTCGGCATCGGTAGGGATTGCATCGAGGAGTTGAATAAGACCGGAGATTGCGTCAGAGGGACGGTTGAGCGAGCGCAACAACGCTACCCGGCGCTTCAAGATGGGCTGTGTGTATGGTTAGTCTATAATCCACAGTACCTGCAACCAATACTGACCACATTGACCGGACTCTGTGACAGGGTATTGTCGTATTCCTGCAGGCATTTTTCTAGCGCCGACTGATCCTTGGCGGTTGCCTCCTCGTACAGGCCCCGAAGCCCCATGATCCTTTCATTAGAGGGTCCAAATCGAAGGCTGAGGCGATTCAGACAAGTATGTGCTGACTGATCATCCCCCGTCCGAAGACAAGCCAACATAAGCTGCTCTAATCGTGCATAGTAATCTGCAGTGTCTGAAGAATTGGAGATAGTTCCAGACCCGGATTGCTGGCCAAGGATTGCTGGTGCTTGTTGAGCAAGATGAAGAGCAGAGATCAAATCCGATCCGCTGATCTCACGGATATCAGCGACAGGACCAGCCATAATAGACAGCTTCAAAAGACCTTTGTTTGTTTTTTGACCAAAAAAAGGGTTCCAAGTCTAGAGTAGGGGTGATCCAATTAGGATGTAATGGTTCAATGTCAAGAGAACAGAGTGCACCGGAGCTTGATTGGCCACAGTCCCGTGATCCCTTATCGGGGATATCCCCAAAGCCAACTCTCCACCCCGCGGAGCTCGGCTTGCATCCACTTACCATCTTTCTTTCTCTTTCCGAATTATGGCTGATCTGACAGCCCAATTTATAATGCAAGTCCAGTCTTAATAGGAGGCATCATCATTCCTCTTCCCTTGACCTGAGCTTGTGACGATAGCTCTGACAAAATGTGGGCACCCTGTTTCCACCCCAGATTTGGCCAACACTAATTTCCAGTACTCTAGGTTCGAAAAATCGCTTTATGACCTTATTAAAGGCCTCCGGGGCCACAAGGGAGGTGAAAATGAATACATCCAGAGTTCTTTGCGTGAATGCAAGGCCGAGATTAAGACACAAGACATGGGTACCAACTACTTGTTCAACTCGGTAATGGACTTGATACTGATCTTAAGTAGACAAAAAGGCTACAGCCCTCTTGAAGCTTATCTATCTTGAAATGTTTGGGTATGACATGTCATGGGCATCTTTTCACGTTCTTGAAGTCATGTCATCCGCCAAATACCTCCAGAAAAGAGTCGGGTATCTTGGAGCAGTACAGAGCTTTCGACCAGACACCGAAGTTCTGATGCTGGCAACCAACTTGCTGAAGAAGGTTTGTACTTTGCATGGCTTCAAATTCCCCTTAGTCGCTAATGCTCTTTACAGGATATCGTCACCTCCAGTATTCCCAACATGTCACTTCCTCTGATTACTTTGCCGCACATTATTACACCTCCCCTAGCAATGTCCTTGCTTCCCGATCTACTCTCGCGACTTTCACACTCAAGCCCCGTGGTGCGCAAGAAAACGATTGTCTGTCTTTATAGGCTTGCTTTAGTGTACCCCGAAGCTCTGAAGCTGGCATGGCCCAAAATAAAAGACCATTTGATGGACGATCAAGAAGATGGAAGTGTCACTACTGCAGCGATCAACGTGGTTTGTGAGCTTGGCTGGCGACGACCTCATGACTTCCTCCCTCTGGCACCTCGATTATTTGAGCTTCTGGTTGATAGTGGCAATAATTGGATGGCTATCAAAATCATCAAACTTGTTAGTCCCTTGTTTCCCTCACTTGCTGGAAAGATAATCTTCTGAGCACCCTCTGACCTTTCTAGTTTGCAACATTAACCCCGCTAGAGCCAAGGCTGACTCGAAAACTCCTGCGTCCATTGACGAATATTATCCAAACCACCTCCGCAATGTCTTTGCTCTATGAATGTATCAATGGCATAATACAAGGGGGTATTTTGGACGGCGAAGAGAATCTCCAGGAAAGGGACGAAGTTGCAACTCTGTGTGTTGGGAAATTGCGGGGTATGATAGTTATGGATAGTGACCCCAATCGTGAGTATCCTTTCGTCGCTTTAAATAACTGATCATTGACCATCGAGCCAGTCAAATATGTTGCACTTTTGGCGTTGAATCGCATTGTTGCCACGCACCCAACGTTGGTTTCCATGCAGCAGGACGTCATTATGGATTGCCTGGATGATGCGGATGTTTCTATTCGATTGCAGGCTTTAGAGCTTGCCGTTGGAATGGTCAGTAGTGATTCTCTCCAGCCAGTCGTGAATCGTCTACTAGATCAGCTGCAACAAGCCTCTATCCCTGCAGCTGAATTAGTTGATACGCCCGAAACCTCCGAAACCCCTCCAAACTCAACCTTATGGCCCAGCGACTACCAGACCGAGGTTGTTCACCGGATCCTGGATCTTTGTTCTCAAAAGAACTACTCTGAGATCGTTGATTTCGAGTGGTATGTCGCTGTGTTAGTGCAGCTAGTCAGACTTCTCCCAGCGTCGGAGAATGAAGACGATTGGGGTCATTCGAAAGAGCAAGAGGCTACACCCAATATGAGGATGAATGCTGCGCTTCGAATAGGGACGGAGATTCGCAATGTTGCTGTAAGGGTAAAAGGTGTGCGCATGGAGGCCACAAGAGCAGCCGAGTCTCTCATGTTTGTCGACAACAGATCAACCTTTTTCCCTTCGGGTTCAACTATCGGCGATGGTGTTTTAGGACCTGTCGCCTGGGTTGTCGGTGAATACGCTGAATATCTGCTGTCGCCTAATCGGACATTACTGTCACTGATTGATGTATCTAATGCATCACTCCCCCCCAGAACACTTTCCCTCTTTTTGCAAGCCATTCCAAAGGTGTTTGTTCAGGTTAGCCAGACCGGTCAACCAGGAGATCTTTGGAAAAGTGAAATGTCGCTTTTACTTGCTCGAGTCGTCGAGTTCCTCGAGGCTTTGGCGGCTCATCCTGATTTGGATGTCCAAGAGCGAGCCATCGAGTTCCTAGAAGTCCTCCGCCTAGCAGCCGAGGCATTGACTTCCGATACACAAGAAGTCCCATTTCTTCTCGCCTCGGTCATACCGAACCTATTTACAGGGCTCGAACTTAACCCTGTTGCGACAAGTGCCCAGAGGAAGGTCGTTTTGCCGGATAGCCTTCGCCTAGAGGAGGCATTCAGCCACGACCTGCCAGGACTTTTCCGCAACCTAGACAGCTCATCACCGCACGAGTTTAAGCCCTGGGAAGCATCGGACTTCTATCATCTTCCTGAACTCTCGTCCCCCAACAAGCAGACTCGTGATCTTGCACCGGTTGATCTGCAACCCCATGCGTCATATCAAAACTTCACCGGTGCCCCAGTTGAATCCCCTACTGCAGTACAAAGAAGAATGCTCGAGCGTAGGGAACGCTTCAAGGATGACCCCTTCTATATTGCTCCTTTCGGGGATTCGTCTGGCACGTCTACGCCATTCCACGAAGCCCTAAACACACCCAATGGCGAGGTCTTGGATATTGATTCAATCCCCATAGTTGACTTGAAGCTGGGAGATGAACAGCTCAGCCATGTTGATTTCGATCGCCAACGAAGTCGCCGACCCCCTGTGAGCAAATTGGTAGTTGCTGGTGATGAGACCTTTGAAACCCAAAACTCTTTGACAGATACCTCTAGGCCCAAGGGCGGTGATGACCACCATACATATAAGCGCTCTTTGCTCCAAGTTGACTCGAGCAGTCTAGGAAATTTGTCCCTGACAAAAGGGCCGTCTCCCCAAGTTCCCGCAGACGAAGGAGACATAGAAATGGCCCGAGCAATGCAACAAGTGGAGGAAGTACGATTGCGGATGCAGCGAGCATCTGAGCGAATCCAACTAGAGGGCATTCCGGCAGAAGGAACCTTGGTCAAGAAAAAGAAGAAGACGAAAAAGCACGTTGCTTCAGACCGAAATGTGGGCCCAGTGGTTCAAGACCCTACAGAGCCTGTGATGGTGAAGAAGAAGAGAAAGAAGAAGACCCAGCAACCAGAAATGCTATCGGGAGAGAATTGACTATCTTCCAGGCCGGAGTAAATCTTGCAACATGTGTGGTATTTGGCTCAAGTAATAACAGTGAGATACAATCAAATAATACAAATTTCAAAAGAAAAGAGCTCCGTGACACATGCAAACCATCTTGATGTTGACATTTGTCCCAAAATCTATCCCTTGTCCCTTGGTCCAGTGACCACTCGTGAGTAGGATACAGGGGTATGAGGGATGATCGGGTATGCTGACTCGAAGCATATCGGTTGTAAGCTAGGGTATTGGCGCAGTAGGGGGAATCATCGCTTGAAGTCCATTTTATCCCGTGAGGGGGGTAAACCATGAGATCACGGTGGACCAGAGGTCAGGAACAATTCGTAGGAGCTCTAGGAGAAGACCGCCGCAAACAACAAAAGCGAGTAACACTGGGGAATATTTAGCATGGTTCAATCGTCAATCCAACAGTGTTTCGATACATACCAACCCAGCTTGCTGAAAGGGGTGACTTTGTGTTCTTCTTCGGTTTAATTGTGCTTGGCCCTTTTCCTCTCTTCGCGGCCTCGGTTTTCGCGAATCGGTCGTTTGCTCGACGTTGCTGTGGTGTTTGTGCCTGACATGTGTTAATTATAATTCGTATGGCAGCGTAACTTTTACACCTACCATGATGGGTTAGGGGAAATATTTGAGGGAAAGATGGATGGGGAAGGGATACAAGATGTGAATATGCCGGCAAAAAAAAGGCCACGTTGTTTCTTGAGTAGACACGTTGCTCTATACACTTGGGGGAAATCACTTAGAAACCCCCCTGAAATTAAGTGGTTTCAAGGACTAATTCTATTATGGACGAGCAGAATATATTTGTACTTTAGTGTTCAGCTCAATGCATTTAACATGATCCTGATATCCTTCATCCAAAAAAGAAGAAGCTATAGACATAAGAGAGAGAGAGAGAGAGAGAAAAGAGCTTGGTTTGATCTGTTTTGGTCTTTGCCACAAGATACATACCTTTCTGTACTGCTTAAGGTGGAGGATTTAGTCATTTCGCTGCCTGTAGGAGACAGATGTATGATGTCCATGGATATATAAATATATCATAAGTAGTATACTCCATAGGGAAATCAACAAGGCGGCGTGAAGAGAGAAGGCGGTCAGAGATGACATCAGTGGACTTAGTCATCCTAGTCACGTTCCAACGTCGAGCCCTGAAAGACATTTCAGACATCAGGAACAATGAGTTGGATACACAAAAATGTGGCTTGATTTTTAGGTAAGTTGTCAATGGGAACATCCGGCATTGTAATAACGTTAAATGAATGACCATTATATAGAATCTATCGGATATATCTAGAAATTGATTGTGTCTGTACATAAATGGGCCATTATCATTGAAACAGCGGCTTCCACTCGATCTGCTCACTGCCCGAGTCACCGAGAAGATCTGTAGAGCCCGTACTGGCGGCCATACCGCTGTCTGGACTGTCCTGTCGTGATGTGTGTTGATTAGGTGATACTGCCCCGATTTTCCCCTGAGA